ATAGCACAGGACACCCAAATTGCACCCCTCAAGCAGTAACTTGAGGTGATAATGGCTGCCCTGGCCCCCTAGCCATGACTGCTCCTGTGAGGACCCGGCCCATCTGTGTTCGTCCCCTAAGACTGTTCTTAGCACCTCACGGGCAGAGCTTAAGTCCTATGTCTGTCCTTGGTGTTGGCCACACTGAAGTAACTTCCTCTCCTGTCTCACCACACTCACCTCTCAGCTATTTGGCTCTCCAGGGACTAGCCCCCTGGCCTCATCGTTGTGACCCTAACCTGACAAAAGCCACTTAGGGAAGGAAGTTTGTGGGAACACCAGACCTTGAGCAGAGACCCACTTCCCCTTCTGCCTGGGAGTAGGCAGCTGTAAGACAATGTTTACTAAAAACATGTTTACTAAAAAGGATACAATGCCCGGGGCAATAAGTTCCTGGAAAAGGCCTTCCCACAGAAACCACCCTGACCTCGACCTTGTCCAAAGACTAACCGTCCAAAGACTAACCGCACCTTCAAACCCACACACATCCACCTCTGGTCAGAGCAGAACCAGCCAGGGTGGAGGAGAGAACAGAAGCTTCTCTGGAGGGAGCCTTTCTGAGGAAGTTTTCTTGAACCTTTTTGGGGCCTGCTTAAAGTTTTCTTTACATCGTTGAACGAGTCTCTGTGTTGTCAATCCCCGACACCCTCCGCACGTTCTCGGACACAGGCCGTGCAGCAGACGCGACAGAAGTTTGGTTTGAGGGGACAGACCATTATGGTGGGGAGGTCACAGAGGCAGGACTGAGGCAGCTGAACGCACTGTATGCACCCAGGAAGCAAAGAAAGGGGCACTGGTGTTCTCCTCTGCATTCAGTCCAGGACACCAGACCATAGGACTGTGTGGCCCCCTACTTAGAATGGGTTTTCCATGGCCAGAGGTTTGTGTTCTAGGTGGTTCTAGATCCCGTTGACGATCAACACACATAAGTTACCATGGGCTCTAAGTCTGGAGGATAGCCTTTGTGTCCCAGGAGCTCTTGAGAGTCCTTTGGCATAAACTGGATTGGACCCTACCTAATTTTCAAGTTTTTGGTCAGCATACAAAACCACAAGTTTCATGATAACACTGTCCCATGTGTGTGTCATACACTATCACCCTTCCTTGCTGCCCCCATACTTTATGAGTCAACACTAGCAATAAAGATAGAGCCTTTTCACACAGAGGTCTCTGGTGAATGCTACAGTATAGATAAATTGAGGGGTGGGGTGGAGGGAGTAGACATCCCTCCATACCAAATACCCGTATTTATAAAGTCAGGAACTTTAAAAGCTGCCCATTCAGATCCCACACAACAGCTAAGGCTTCACTGGAAACAGGTGACTGGGATAGAGCCAGGCTCTCTCGATGAACTGGAAGCTCACCATTTTGGCTCTGCTGGTCAGCTAGAGATCTCTCCAGATCTGCCTATCTCTATCCCCCAATCCCCAGTGCTGGATTACAAGGTGTGTGCAGTCATGCCTAGCTGTGTACCTGGCTGCTAGGATTCAAACTCAGGTCTTCATGCTTGTGTAGCAACTGCTCTTACCCCGAGCCATTGCCCCAGTTCAGTTCCATTGCACAGATGAGTAAACTGAGGCTCAGAGAAACCATCATTCCCAAGGCTAGACACATCCCTGGTGCTGACATGGAGTGTGAACTCAGACTTTTTTTTTTCCGAGACAGTTTCTCTGTGTAGCTTTGAGCCTATCCTGGCACTTGCCCTGTAGACCAGGCTGGCCTCGAACTCACAGAGATCCGCCTGCTTCTGCCTCCTGAGTGCTGGGATTAAAGGTGTGCACCACCACCACCACCACCAGGCTGCACCCAGTATTTTTCTATGTATCAAGATTCACAGCCAAATTCATAGCAACAGATATTCTGGACTCTGTTTTTCTTGTAAACTTTGCAAGGCACCTTTTCTCCATCAGAAGTTAATTCTGGTGGGTTAATTCCTAGAATATTAATTGCTACTTCTGTAATAAATGAAAAAGGCTCTCAGCACTTACACAGCCTGGTGGGGGGGAGGCATTGAGGAGGAAGTTTGAGGTCAGCTGGAGCAACCTAGCAGAACCCTGTATCCTCCCCCCCTCAAAAATTCACATAAAGATGCCAATTATTCAGGCTACTAGAAGCCTTTCACATAAAGGAAATACATCAGTCATTACTTTGTGGGAACACCAGACCTTGAGCAGAGACCCACTTCCCCTTCTGCCTGGGAGTAGGCAGCTGTAAGACAATGTTTAGTAAAAACATGTTTACTAAAAACGATACAGTAAGTTCCTGGCCACTTCCCCTTCTGCCTGGGAGTAGGCAGCTGTAAGACAATGTTTAGTAAAAACATGTTTACTAAAAATGATACAATAAGTTCCTGGGAAAGGCCTTCCCACGGAAACCGCCCTGACCTCGACCTTGTCCAGAGACTAACCGCACCTTCAAAAACCCACACAGATCCACCTCTGGGTCAGAGCAGAACCAGCCAGGGTAGAGGAGAGAGCAGAAGCTTCTCTGGTGGGAGCTTTTCTTAGGAGGTTTTCTTGAACCTTTTTGGAGCCTGTTTAAAGTTTTCTTTATATCATTGAACGAGTCTCTGTGTTTTCAATCCCCGACACCCTCCGCACGTTCTCGGACACAGGCCGCGCAGCAGACGTGACATTACTTTAATAGGTTTACAATGCTTTTGTTTCCTACTATGTGCTTGTAGGCGAGCAATCCCTATATTTTGCACAATGGTCAACCTGCTTTTAAACCTTTTAGTAGTTTACAAAGCAACAAATGTTTATGATAAACTGGTGGGTTAAAACATCCGACCTGGCCGGGCGGTGGTGGCGCACGCCTTTAATCCCAGCACTCGGGAGGCAGAGGCAAACAAACAAAAAAACACCCGACCTGGCAGAGTTCAGCATGGAAGAAAACCATGGCTAATCTTTTTTTTTTTTGTTTGTTTTTTTGTTTTTCGAGATAGGGTTTCTCTGTAGCTTTGGAGGCTGTCCTGGAACTCACTTTGTAGACCAGGCTGGCCTCGAACTCACAGAGATCCGCCTGCCTCTGCCTCCCGAGTGCTGGGATTAAAGGCGTGCACCACCAACGCCCGGCTTCTTTTCTTTTTTTTTTTTTTTCTTTCGTTTTACGAGACAGGGTTTCTCTGTATTGTTTTGGAGGCTGTCAGTCCAGTCTGGTCTCGGACTCACAGAGATCTGCCTGCCTCTGCCTCTCAAGTGCTGGGATTAAAGGTGTGCACCATCACCGCCCGGCCAGAAGAAACATTTCTACACAGGCTTGAGTAGAGACACTACTTCTGGGGCTGGGGACCTATCAGCCGTAGCAAACTCTAACCTAGCACAGGCAATGCCTGAGTCTCCATCAGCTCCAACCAAACCAATCGAGAAGATCCTGCAATGCTGCTACCACCGCCCCCACCCCCATCCCCAGTGGTGGTATTAAACCCCAGGCCTCGCTTTGCAGGCTGCTCCCTACTGTGTCCCAGCCCAGGATGCTCCTCCAGTTTCTCCAGAGCTTTCAGTGACAAGTGGTACCTGTGGTTTCTAGGGCTTTCTATAATACAGCTACTGAAGTCTGTACACTTGGAGGCACACTCAACCTTCAAGGCACCCGAGATGGCGTGAGACAGGGTGGCGGCACTGGATGAAGCGTTCTTGGGAGAGTCCAGACTGCAATGGCACCGAGCACGAAGTATGTGAAGTGGCTCAGAAGCCTGGGGTAAGCACATGACGGCAAAAATGAGGGGAGGGGAGGAACTGCACCACTGAACCTGAACTTCAGATCACAAGGCCTAACACACGTGTGAGGGCAGATGCGAGCCTGGACAGATACCCACATCTAGGGTATGGACCATGAGCAGACAGCACGGAGTCAGGAGCTGGTGGCCACAGGTCACAGCCATTAGCATACATGCCTGTTCTCTTTTTTAAATATCACCGCTTCCAAAGATGGTTTCAGCTGACCACTTTGGGATTGTCATGTGCCAGTTTCTGGTCCTGGATGAACCCCGGACACTTCTCTTCCACTTACACTAGCTCCCACTGTGGCCTCAACCCATCCTCATAGGACTACCTCTCAAGTCCACACCCCTGGCTGGCTATCTTGTAAACATGAGCCAAAAATATGTTGAAGCTTAGTGTACCCATTTACAGTACTGAAGGGAATAGTTCTTCAAGGGAGATAACCCAACCAGTAGCTTTGCCCCTGTAAGGGACTAATGCAATTCTTGAAGGATGGTGTAGCTCCCCAGAGACTGGCTACAGAACTATATCTCTATGCCAGGTCTTGTTTTGGTTCATGTCCCTTCCCATTTCTCCAGAAAATTATGACATCCAGTGCCAGACCTGTGTCATGCTGTTTGGACTTTGCAGCCATGAAAATCCTGAACCAAATAAGCCTCTTTCTTTACGTGCTATCTAGCATCAGGCATTCTGTTATTGAAACACAAAAACTGACTAAGATGCCCAAATGCCCCTTGGGCAAGAGTTTTTCTGCTCTCTAACCCATAGGAAGATGGGGGCAATGTCATGTTCTGCTAAATGTAAACTACACTCGTTATCTTTCCAAAAGCTTCACTGCTTCGTTTTTGGAGACAGTGTTTCTCAGTGTAACAGTCCTGGCTGTCCTGGAACTTGCTTTGTAGACCAGGCTGGCCTTGAACTCATTGAGATCCACCTGCCTTTACCTCCTAAGTGCTGGGATTAAAGATGCACACTATCACACCTGGCTTCACTGCCTATTTTTATTTTATAAAAAGTTTTCCAAAGCAGCAGACAGATTTTTTTTTAAAACTTACTTTGTAGACCAGGTTGGACTGGAACTAAGAGATCTGCCTGTCTCTGCCTCTCGAGTGCTGGAATCAAAGGTGTGTGACACCACCACCTTGTGCAAGATGCATTTTAAATAGCTAATACTGCATAATTTTGTGTTCAGCATGCAAGCATGTCAAATAATGAGTTCATTGAGAAGACACCAGTCGCTCAGTATTTCAAGGCTCCCAGGCCATCATTGATTTTCAATCCTTTGGGTTACTGGTTGAAGTCCCTGGGTGAGCTGAGCCACAGGAGTAGATTTCTCATTTAAAGCAACAAGAACATGGGGCTTTGACCCCCAAACATGCTCATGCTTCTGTGAACTGTGGACTCTGAGGTTGAAAGGTCAAAGCTCATCCTGGTCACTTCTCTCTCGTGAAGACACCCAACGGCTGAGAATCACCTCCTGCAACCAAGCAAAAGAGGGCTGGGCTTCAGAAAAAGAAGTGGGAGTCCCAAGCATGTGACACCATGACCCTCACACAGAAGCCTGAACAGTGTCCCAGCACACAGCAGTGGTGAAGCTGCTGCCTAACTCTATGACTGGTCTGGGTGTTGGCTCTTTTTGTCAGCCATGAAAGTAAGAGTGAACTTTGGTAGACATTTTATGAACCACCAACCTAGAGAAGATCAGAACAAATGGTGGGGGGGCCCTGGGGCCCTGGAGACTGACAGGGGCTCTGACTGGGACCAGGGAGGATGCAAGCACAGAGAAGGAAAACAAGGGCACCCTGGCCGTGTGCAGTGAGCACAGGTGCTGTCAAGTCTTTCAGGGAAGGGCACAGAAACAGCAACAAACACGGGGGACTCTGACACACTTGGCAGCCCTAGCAGAGGAAAAACAGCAGCACTAGAGGGTGCCTGGTTCAATACAGGAACAAGGGAGTGAGATGTGCGTGCGGGCATGCGCCAGGCGCAGCGGCAGAGTAGGCACTTAGTGTGAGAGAGGCCGTGCTTTCACCCTCAGCACTGAGGGAAGTCACAGGAGAAGTTTGAGGAGGGAGAGACAGCTAGTCTCTGGGAGTGAGACTTGTGGGAGCCCTGGCCTGGTTACAGCAGGAGATGGAGAAGCAACAGACAGACTGGTTTATGGGGCCAGAAGAATCTTTCTATCACTGAGAGAAGGCCCTTCCTGGCAGGCTTCTAGAGGATGCAGTGGGAGCAGACTCTTGGGAGGTCTCTGCACGCACAGACCTGAACCTGTATCCTCTTCATGCATTCTGGGGTTTCCATGTCTTCATTAGTCATGGTAGAGGGCTTAATCAAGTAGCACAGCATCAGCTCCTGCAGAGAAACAAAGAGACCTCAACGTGCCAGCGTGTGAGGGGGGAGCAGGCACCCTGCCTGTCCCCTGGATCTGGGTCTTCTCTAAAGAGCTGGCTTTGACAACCATCCAGAGGCTGTGACAATGTGGTGAAGCACACAGGCTGACATCAGATAGGGAGACAGGCTGGCTCAGACTCGTGACCCTGTCTCCACTTTCCAAGTTACAGGTGTGTGCACCTTGCTGAGCTGTATCCATAACTTAAAATTGTTTATACCTTACTTTTAATTATGTGTATATCTTCGTGTCTGTGTGTAGGTATATGCATGTGAGTACAGGTGCCTGTGGAGGCTGGAAGAGGGCATTGGACCTCCTGGAGCTGGAGTTATAGGAAGCTGGTGAGAAGCCTGATGTGGGTGCTCTGGTCCTCTGGAACGAAGAGCAGTGTGAACTCTGAGCCTTATTTTTGTTTATGTGTGTGTATGCATGTGTATGCCATGTGAATGCAGTTGCCAACAGAGGCCAGAAGAGGGCGTCAGATCCTCTGGAGCTGGATCATAGGTGGTTGTGAGTTGACTGATGTGGGTGCTGGGCTCAACTCAGTTCTGCTGCAAGAGCAGCAGGTGCTCTTAACCTTGGAACCATCTCTCCATCCCCACATTCCCACTTAAATTTTTTTTTTACTATGTTTAAGAGACAAACAAAGGAACTATGTAGGTGACAGGCGAGGCGAAGGCTATTACCTTAGAGACGTTGCCTGAGACTCTGCTTAAGGCGGCCAGTGACTTCCAGCTGAAAGGTCTGCGGAGGGAGCCCTCAAAGTTGTCGTCGACTAGCTCTACGATGACAGAATAGCTAGAAGACAAGAGAGGCATCCTGGAAGAGCCACATCATCAACTCGTTCAGAGAGCACTAAGTCAGAAGGATTTTGCATCGCCTGCTGCTAAAAGCCTAGACCACCACAGAGAATTACTAACGACCAACCAGGCTGACAAGATGCTTACTGTCAGGAAAGACTAGAGGTACTTTTCTCACACAGCTGCTTGGATACTCATTCTCGCTGGCTGCTGGGAAGACTGTACACAGACTAACCTGGCATTTAACACATCCATGATGGGCACAGTGTGACATGCCAGTGTCCTATCATTTTCCTGTGGTGCTGATCATGGAACCCAGGGCCTCACACAATCAGCCTGAAGCCTGGAGGAACATGGTTTTTTTTTTTGAGACAGGGTCTCACCATGTAGCCCTGGCTAGTCTGAAACTTGCTACATAGACCAGGCTGACCTTAAACTTATAGTGCTCCATCTGCTGCCTCCTCAGAGTGCTGAGCTTAAAGACATGTTCTACCATACCTGGCCATGAATATGACTTTTTAGAGAGATATATTTTATTTTTATAAATATTAGGTTTAGGCTGGAGAGATGGTTCAGTGGTTAAGTGCATTGGCTGCTCTTCCAGAGGATTTGAGGTCAATTCCCAGCACCCACATGAAAGCTCACAACTGTCTGTAACTCCTGTTCCAGAGGATCCAAAACCCTAATGCAGACATATAAGCAGGCAAAACATCAACGTACATAAAATAAACTATTAAAAAGTAAGTATAGGTATTTGCCCGCAGATGCTCATGCCTGGTGTCTGAGGAACCCAGAAGATACTGGATCCTCCTGTTGTAAGTCACCACGTGAGTGCTGGGAACTGAACTTGTTCTGTAGACCAGGCTGGTCTTGAACTCAGATCCGCCTGCCTCTGCCTCCTGAGTGCCAGGATTAAAGGCCTATGCTATCACTTTTAATTGTTTCTGAGACACTGAAAATTAAACTTGAAGCCAGAAATTTGTGTGTTCTTTCAATTAATTTATTTAAAAATTTCCAAACCTTGCGTGGTAAAATGGAGGGCCTTTCCGATACAGCACTGCAAAGAAGAGAAGGGAGATGTTAACCCATCACAGCCAGGTCGAGTGAGGCAAACACCTAGCTCTCTGCATCAGGGCACTCTGTTCTCTGCCCTCCAGTCTGCTTCAGATCCAAGTCCCTTCTCCCAGAAACAAAGGAGTTAGTCAAAGCTGGGTGGTGGTGGCATAAGCGTGTGCTCAGCACTTGGGAGGCAGAGACAGGTGGATCTCTGTTTGAGATCAGCCTGGTCTATAGAGTGAGTTCCAGGACAGGCTCCAAAGCTACACAGAGAAACCTTGTCTTGAAAAACAAACAAAAAACCAACCAACCAACCAAGAAAAAACAGACAAACAAAAAAGAAGCTAGTCAAATCCACTGCCCAAACTGACACCCTGGTCCACCCCACAAGCAACTCCCCCAAGTTAAATACAAGCCATTCTTTCTGGCTCTCTTCTGGTGCTGGAGACTGCATCTAATGATTTACTCTGCCGAGGCCATACCCCTAGACACAAGTGGGTCTTGTCTTTCTCCATGTGTATGACGTGGTAGAAAGAACATGAAGTCCATAAAACGTACAACACTTGTGATTTGTTGCAAATCACCCAAACTCAGAGTGAGGGTGGCCCCATCTGCTGCATCAGAGATGAGCAAACCTCCAGGATATTTTCAGGGAAGTCTAGGGTCACTTCTCAGCCTTTTGGCTACACAAGTATAGAAACTCAGGTTCTGCAGAGATGGCTCGGTGGTAAGAGCACAGGCTATTTGAGTATGAGGGCCTGAGTTTCAATCCTTAGAACGACATAAAAGGTGGGTTATGGTTGCACATGTCTGTAACCCCAACATCAGGGGTGGAGGGGTTGGGGTATGGTGTGGTGTGAAATGGGGTAGCGGGGTGGATCCTGACAGCTTGCTGGCCAGCCCAGCCAGAATAGTGAGCTTCTGTTCTGGTTCAATGAGAAACCCTGTGTCAAGGCAATAAGGCAAAGAATGACAGAGGAAGCCACCTGACCCTCCTCTGACCTCCTGATGCATTCTCACCCGCCGTCATATGCATGCATCATACACACTTGGCATGCATAGGCTAGCAAGATATTTCAGCAGGTAAAAATGCTGGTATGAATGCCTATGTCACAGCACACGTGCCCATGCAAACTGAATTCATGCACACACTTATAAATCAAAACTAAAAAATAAACAAATAAGAAAGAAACCCAGTCAAGAGGCTATAAAAGACCCACAACCACATACTCTGCCCAGTTACCACTCTGCCTTTCTCATGGGGATCTGACATAGGAAGGGGTGAAGCCAGTCTGTAGAGACCAAAAAGAGCCCCTTATTGAAGGAGCCTGGGCCTAACGACAGTCGGCCTCCGCAGGTCCCTTTGGAGGCAGGTACCAGCTAGCTAGCTGCCCACCACGGCCATCTTGCTTCCTCCAGGCTCTCAGTCCCTGAGCAGCCAGCCCTGACCCTGTGCTGTGTCATCAGCAGAGTCTGTGCTCAGTACTTAGTGAGTGATCCTGAGAGCCTGTGCTGAAGACAACCATAAGCTTGGGACCCCGAGGACCTGTCAGAGTTTATCTGGAGACAAGCGGAGATGCACTGGATTTCATGTAAAACAAAGGGAATGTTATAAAGTGCCCCAGGCATGACATTTATAGATGAAAAATGAACACTATGGCCAAGTGCCAAAAGCCAAAATTTATAAGTAACCTACAGCTATGTCACTATTGCCACGTGCTAGCCCCATGACACTGGCTGCCTCCTTGCTCCCCAATGGAGGAGAGTGTGTCCTTTGAGCAATGGACACAATTTCCCTGGGAAAGAATTCTAGCAACACCAGGTTAATCATAGTCTATTTTAGACCATTACAATTTTGATTTATTTTTGACTTTTTATTATAGGAGTATTTATCCTGCAAGTGTTTTTGTGCACGACATATGTGTGCTCAGTAAATGACAGCTGGGGACATCTTCACAACTCTAGGACTCAGGCCTGACCACAATCACACAAGCTGGTGGCTGAGGTGCAGCAGGTGCCATAGAACTCTCGTTTATGATAAGGAAAGCCTTCATCTGCCCGTGGGCTTCCCCAGCACACTGCCTTCTCACTGTGGATTTAACCCATCCCATCCAAATACCCAGCATTTGTATCCAAATACCTCCCAAGCAAAATGGGCTGACACACACCAAGAACTACTCACACAGATCTGTTCCGTACTTGAGCCCCACTTTGGGCACCCAGCCTTTGCTTCGGAAGTAGTGGTAAGCCATGTAGGTGGTCCTGAAGGTGGGCTGGATTGCAGTGAAGGCTTGCCAGAGCTTCGCTATTGTTAAAGGCTCCTAAAGTTGTTAAAAAGAAAAGAAAACAAGACATTAGTTTGCATGTGTCTACTTCCACTCAGTAAGGGAGCAGACATCTAGATTAGCATGGTATAGCAGCAGTAATAGAGATAAACAAGGGATTCATTCAGGAGACTGGACCCACACTATGTGACAGCAACCACCATGAGTGGTTCCTCAACCCAGATGCTACTGTGAGGTCTATCTCCGCATGATAAAGCAACACATGCAACCTTGGTAATTTGGTTCATATCAGGTTAATCACATTTCCCCTTGCAGTGCTGGGTGTGCAAGACAGGGCCTTGTGCACACTTAGGCAAGTACTCTACCTCTGAGTTACAGCTCACCCTCCTGCATATGTGCAGTTAAAAAGGCTATGCATGTATTATTAAAATTGGTTTTGTGGGTGGGGAGACAGTCTCACAACTGTAGCCCAGGCTGGCCTTGAACTTGCAATCTTCTCATGTCTGCTTCCCAAGTGCCATCAGAAAGGTCTCCAGTGACCCATGTGGCTCCCACCCGAGGCTCTCACTCATCTCTTCTGAAGCAGGACTTTAGAGAACTCAGAAAACAATGAGGCTGGGGTGCAGCTTAGTGATGGAGCATGGGCTCAGCACACATAGGCTCCAGGCTCCATCCTTGGGAGAGGGAGGGGGAGGGGGAGGCAAGTCTAACATCTAGGAATGAGAAGCAGCAAAGGGCAAGGGTCAGAGGCCATGTAAAAAGGTGGGGAATCTAGAAAATGTGTGGTGCTGGACTCAAAGGTAACAAGCCCACTGGAGCTTATTGTAGATGAAAGCTTCTGTTCAGCTTGGTCCCGAAGCTGATTAGCCCCAAATAAACACACACTTATATTAATTTATAAACTGTTGGCTGATGACTAGGGCTTCTTACTGGCTAGTTCGCTCTTAATTATTAACCCATAACTATTAATCTATGTATTTCTACATGGCCTTATCTTACCAGGGAATGCCTGGCATGTACCACATGGCATCTCTCTTGAGGTTTCACTCTCCTCACTCCTTCCTCTCGTAGCCCTGCCTATACTTCCTGCCTGGCTAATGGCCAATCAGTGTTTTATTCATCAACCAATAAGATAAACATATATACAGAAGGACATCCCCCATCAGCTTGTTAAAACACACTGTTCTTTAGTGAGTAGCTACTGCAATGTCAGGCCAGGCTCAGGAGAGTAAAAATAATTCTGTAAATGAAATTTTCATTAACGATCCAAAGATGATCCTTGGCTCCATCTTGGCTTTCAAATAGGAGAATGGTCACCTGATGGAGCAGCACAATAACCCAGCTACGTCCAGAGAGGGGCCTTGAACAGAAGGAATGGTTTTCTAGGTCCCAGAAGAAAGCAGTCACAAGCAAGTGGCTGGGTTTGGAAAGTATCTCTCCTCATTCCATTGCTTTGTGAAAGAATCAACTCGTTAGCTGGCTGGGGCTCAGCTCTGCGAGACATGCTCAGTTCAGCTCAGTCTAAGCTTTAATTCCACAGATATGGCTGGACCACAGCTCACTGGCAGAACATATGCTTACGGTCAACAAGGCCCTGAGCTTTGTCCCCAGAAAGCAAATAGCTCCCATAAGCACCTAGGGTTAGTTTTTGTTCCTGTATATGTGGCATCAATCCCTTAATAAGTCTCCCCAAGAAGGTGGAGTCCCCGTGGGGCACTGGAGCAGGGTGCCGGAGGATCCCTAGGAAGCAGACACAAGCACTTCGGCTGCCATTTGTCTCCCTTTGTATCTTACATACTCTGAATAGGCTTTGTATCAGCAAGGTTCTGAATTCAAAAAGGACAAAAAATGTCCAGTGACAGGCCACCTCTCTTCAAATGCGTAGAGGTCAGCGAGGACGACACCCTGGCCAAGGTGAAACCACAGACTTTTTTTTTTTTAAGATTTATTTATTTGTTACAAACACAACACCCTGCCTCCATATACATCTACACACCAGAAGAGGGCACCAGATCTCATTACAGATGGTTGTGAGCTACCATGTGGTTGCTGGGAATTGAACTCATGACCTCTGGAAGAGCAGTCAGTGCTCTTAACCTCTGAGCCATCTCTCCAGCCCGAAACCACAGACTTTGAAGACACCTAGATAGGGATTTCCCAGCTGATTCTAACCACACTAGCCAGGCTGAGTTGTTTATTTTCTCTGAGCCCCAGTTAGCTTGTTAATGCATCTACTACTAAGAGGAAGGAAGGATCAGAAACAGCACAGAAGCTGGGCCCTATGGCTTACATATGTAATTCCAGCACTTAGTGAGGTCCAGGCCTGCCTAGGCTACAAAGGGAGATCTTCACTCAAAACAAACACAAAGGACTGGAGAGACTGATCAGTGGTTAAGTAAGAGCAACCACATGACAGCTCATAACTGTCTGTGCTCTAGTTTCAGGAGATCCAATGCCCTATCTGGCCTCTGTGGTTACCCAGCATGAATGGGCTGCACCAACATGCAGGCAAAATGCCTATACACATAAAAGTCAAACAAATAAAACCAAAATATAAAATGTCCAAACAAAGAAAAACCAGCTTTCAGCTTCCAGTTCGGTTGCGGAAAAAGAGACCAAGACTTCTGTTGTTCAATCTTTTCCTTCTTTTTTTTTTTTTTTTTTTGGTTTTTCAAGACAGGGTTTCTCTGTGACTTTGGAGGCTGTCCTGGAACTAGCTCTTGTAGACCAGGCTGGCCTCGAACTCACAGAGATCCTCCTGCCTCTGCCTCCCGAGTGCTGGGATTAAAGGCGTGCGCCACCAACGCCCGGCCCCGTTGTTCAATCTTTTATACCTTCCCCTGTAATGCCCCTTAGCCATGCCCAAAAGTGGGCCTAGCTAGTGATGTAGTTCACCGCCTACGTACGTATACATCTTTATGTCCGTCTGTATACGTCTTTAGTCATGTCTAAAGTGGGGGTGGTTAGCGGTGTGTTAAACCGCTCTTTTATTACCTCATCTGTATGTGCCTCTAGTAAGTCACATGGCTAATGGCAGTATTGTTTTCCTCCTACAAAAGGGCCTGACACAGGCATGTACAGGAAGGACACATTGATGACTTTGATTATTTTTGCAGTGCTGGGGGTGGAACAAGGCCTCACGCATGCCAAGCAGGCCCTGTGCTCCTGAGCTGCACCCAGCTTTGCTTTGCTTTTTGTGGGTGGTTTCAGAACCATCCAGATACAGGTTTCCTTCTTGTATAACGAGCCACACTTTCCGAAGGTTCTGAGGCAGACACAATCTAAAAGGGTCACCCTGGCTTGTGCCTGAAGTGCTCCAATTAAGGCTCCAAATTCGAAACTTACAGGAAAAAGGCAATTCCTACTTTCTTTTCACTCAAAGTTGACACATTTGCATTAAAGCTCCATGGAAAGGGGTCAACCCACTGTTAACATGGGACTGTGAGATTATGCGTATACAGAAACTTACCTTCTCATAGTAAACACTTAAACATCCCAGGGCGTACGTCAGGAAGAAAGCCTATAACAAAGCAGGGAAAGACCCATTAGAAGCACTGCTGCTCTCCTAGGGTGGGCATGTAAAGCAACCGCCTAGCACACCCTTGGCTCACCCCAGCAACATCCAACAGAAATAAAAATAGCTTTCTCACAACGCCTACCTGTTTCCAAACACTAATCCCATCCCAACAGCCGCATGTTGTGGCTTCTGTCCCTGGCATCAGAATCTACTATGATCATCAGGTCTCAGGTACCCAGGAGAGGGGGTGGTGGGCAATATTAAAAGATAGCTTATAGCAACACTGGGCTTCTTTGTATTTTATTGACTGTAGACTGAGGACCTCCTGCATGCCTGAACTGCCTTGTCAGTTACATCCCAACGTGTCTTTTCTAGCATCAAAGTATCTGAAAGGGCAGACATGTTAGCACAAACAATTACAAACAGTCCCTGCCTCCAGGTTCAGGGCAGGAGGGTCCTTGAGTACAAACAGGACTTGGCTTTTTTCCTCACTATCTCCTCCTGCCCCAACCTGGTGTACACGCGGCAGTAAGAGCCCAGGAAGCTGAAAGGTGCAGGAGAGTCCAGGGATGAGGGGCTGCAGGGCCTAGCACTTCAGTGACCTCCTTGGAACCACCCAGAGCCACTGGACATGGATGTTCTCCACATGCAGCTCTCTAAGGCTACCTGGAGGTCCTGGGTCTCAAACTGTGTCCTGCTAGGGGGGAGGCACATGGAGGCAGAAAAGCCCCACGCCCGTGGTGAGACCATGGCAGAACCCATCACAGCCAGACCTCAGTCATCTTCAAAACAGGTCCAATAGTCTCACTAAGCTATTAGAAAAGTTATTTTTTATAAAATACTGTTTAGAGTAGGATGTGGTGGCTCAGTACTGCTCCTGGAATATGCCCAGTCCTTCCCACTCTTGCTCTCTGCTGTCTTAATGGTCCTTTCCTCACCACAGGCTCCAGCAACTCCTTTGCCTGCCTCCTCCAGAGCACTTGCTTTTGTCTGGAAGTGTCTTTCGTTCATGCGCCTATTTGAGGAGAAGATCAAGCCAGGCAGAACCGAGTCTAGAGCTGTACCTCAGTCTACAAGACTGTCTAGCTCCCTTTTGGTGAGTGCTCAGTCCTTGTGTTGAAGGAATAAAAGAAGGGCTGGAGAGATGGTTCAGAGGTAAAGAGCATTGATTGTTCTTCCAGAGGTCCTGAGTTCAATTCCCAGCAACCACATGGTGGCTCACAACCATCCATAATGAGATCTGGAGCCCTCTTCTGGTGTGCAAACATACATGCAGGCAGAACACTGTATACATAATAAATCTTAAAAAAAAAAAGAAATAATAAAGAAAGAAAGGTGTTAGGATAAAGCACGAGGGGGAACTTTGACCAAACATTCCGGGCAGATAGAGCTTAACTGAGAAGTTTTATTAGAAAGGGAAGGGGGGGGGGGAAGAAAAGAGGTAAAGACACACACACACACACACACAGAGAGAGAGAGAGAGAGAGAGAGAGAGAGAGAGAGAGAGAGAGAGAGAGAGAGAGAGAGAGAGAGACAGGAAAAGTCCTGTCTGTCCCAAGGAAACAGCACAAAAGAGAGTGTAAGTGGGCAGGGGTCTTTCTTTTAAAGGGTCCTTTGCACCTGTGTGCAGACTAGTAGTCATGGAACCCTGGGCTGACCAAGGTACTGCCTGAGTGCATTCTGCCAGGTGACGGGGCAGGCCAGCATAATGCCTGAATCCTTACAAAAGCAACCCCAATCCCTGTCTTGGCTTAGGCCCAGGTGGCTAGATCCACTAGGGGCTTCTGCACCTGCGTCTGTTTGGTCTACATGGCCCGAGGCTGGTCTAAGTCTCTCAGTGCTGTCCATAGCCCTACAGGCCTACTACAACTTGTCATTAGCTTTCCTAAGACTGAATACTGTGGTTTGTGGATGGCCCAGGGTGACCAGAAATACCATGGAAAAGATTAACCTGTCTCCTCAGGTAGACAAGCTCCCTTCATTTTATCAAATTTACATTCCTTGGTTCAGAATTGGAGAAATACAAAAAAGAATCGGCCTCAGAGGAGCACAGTGGAGACCAAATAAGGTCTAGCAGACCTGGGTTCAAGTCTTCACTGGGTGATTTAATTTTTAATTTTATGTGTATGGTGTTTTGCCTGTGTGTATGTATGTGCACCATGAGTATGTCAGGGACCCAAGGAGGCCGGAAGAGGGCATCAGATCCCCTGGAACTGGAGCTACCACGTGGGTGATGGGCACAGAACTTGGATCCTCTTGAGGTTAAGAGCCAGCGCTCTTAACCACTGCCCCCCATCTCAGTAAGATGTTTTTATTTGGAATCAAATCCTCACGAGACAGGGAAGGGAGGTCTGCGAAGCTGGCATCATCAGTGAGCTTTCCCCTTTGGGTGCTGAGGTGGGGGTGAACCTGATGACAGTTTTCCATCACAAGGCTTATTCAGGTAGAACCCTCAGCCAGGCGTTGGTGGCACACGCCTTTAGTCCCAGCACTCAGAGGCAGGCGGATCGCTGTTAGTTCGAGGCCAGCCTGGTCTACAGAGTGAGTTCCAGGACAGACTCCAAAACAATACAGAGAAACCCTGTCTCAAAAAAAACAAAACAAACCCCCCCTAAAACAAAAACAAAAACAGGTAGAACCCACAGCACTGGAAAATGAGATCGCAAAGGCAACCTCTATGAAGTTATGGAGCAGTCTGCCTCAGTGATCACATGACTCCTTGAAGGAAGCCCTGGAGAGAGAGGGGGGAGAGCAAGAGAGCAAGTGGGCAAAGGAGAGAGAGAGAGAGAGAGAGAGAGAGAGAGAGAGAGAGAGAGAGAGAGACAGACAGACAGACAGACAGACAGACAGAGACAGAGACAGAGACAGAGACAGAGACAGAGAGAGAACAAAATCATTCAGAGTGGTATAGTCTGCTATGGGCATGGTTCAAGAGCAGGACAGAGAAAAAGCCACCTGTGAAAGATGATATCCGTGTTACATCATCAATCAGCATCTAACAGAAGAAAAGGCAAAAGCCACTCATGTGATGCAGTCACTGTGAAGTTATCTTAATTTATGATGGGTGTCAACAATTTAGAGAGACGACAACTTGCTATGGGGGAGGGCATGAAGGTCACCAAAGAGTCAGGAAACCAGTGAGGAAGGACGTGTGCATATACCTTACATTTGTTAAGTTAATGTGATATCTGATACTGAACATGAACTCAAAGAGAACGGTTCCGCTGAATAAGCAGAAAGGAGTGCACCTGAGACATACCTCCACCCTTTCCCCTAAGCTTTTCCTTAGCAAGTCACACCCTTCCACAAGCTGCAATCAAACCAAATTCTGCTGGAGCTCATTTGAAATTTGGAGGGAAAAACTAAACTGGGGCCATGTCCACTTGGGGATGTCGCATTCTTGGTGAGAGATGTGCACGAAGTTGTGTGCCTTCCAGGAAAGCCTCCAGACAAGTGACATATCTCATTTGATCTTTACTATAACCCTCTGGGGTCAACATCCTGGAATGTCACCATCAGAAAGCCCAGGGATGTCACCTCTTGTGTGCCATGTTGACGAGGCCAGTAGTTTCTTCCACTTATCTTTTCTGTTTTTTTTTTTTTTTTAAGACAGGGTTTCACTGTGTGCCCCTGTCTGACCTGGAACTCACAGAGATCCCTCTGCTTCAGTCTCCTAGTGCTGGAATTAAAGGTGTGGGCCACCATGCTCAGACCTATTTATCTTTGTCTATTACTTCACTTCTGTCTTTAGCATGGAGGGGAGCAAACCCAGGGTTGCAGACATGCTAAGCAAATGCTATGCCATGGAGTTATGATCCAGGTTACCACCATCTTATTTACTGCCATTTATCATTGACAATTCTCAGCAAATGCTTCAGACTTTAGGCTGCAGAGTCAGATGGCTTAGGTACAAGTACTGATCTTGAGCAAGGAGTTTAACCAGCCTGAAATCAAGTTTCTTCCCCGTCAGAAAGATCACAACAGGCTCTAGGGTGATATGAGGACTTGAGATATTACACAAATTAGTCCTTAGCAGAGACATTAAGACCATGCACAAGGAATTTAAGACCACACACTACTCCGTTGTTCTCATTATGCGTGACTTCCTCTTGAGCCCTAATCATGGGCCAATGAGAGAGAGACACCCCGAGGATGTTCCCTCTTCCATGAACTGAAACAAGCACAGTGCAATCCCCGTGGTATCTGGAGCAGATAATGCAGGTGAGGCAGACTGGCAGGTACTGCTGCAGGAGTTCCCTTCTTCCGCCCCAACTGCAGATCCCTAGGAGATCAAGAGGAGGAGGAGGTCTTTTTCCTGCTCACATCTCCAGCACCTACCCTGCCCTGCCCGCCACTCAGGAGGTCCTCTGGAAATGCTGACTGAACAAAAGACCATTATAGGAGGGACAATCTCTACTTGCGCCGTTCCTCCAAGGCCCTACCAGCCTTCCTTTCCTCAACAGCCGGCCAGTGGGCTTACAAGGAGAATCTATCACCTAAGGATACTTACTGTGTACAAAGGATAAAGAGATCAGGGTGCACATGAACAATGGGATTTCACTCAACCACAAAGAAAAACAAAATGATACACTTCCAGGAAAACGAAGATCATTATGTAAAGCAAAATAAGCCAGGCTCAGAAGGCCAAATTCTGCAGGATTTTTCCCCCCTCAAATCTATATTTTCCCCCTAATCTATATTTAAATTTATGTGTGTTGGTCATAAAAATAGAAAGGATGCTATGAGAGGATGATGGGGGACGGGAAAGAAAAGAAGGTAATGGGATCCAGGTGGGAGCAGGGGGGTTTATCTAGAGAGGGCAGCAAGGGTTTCAGTAAGAGGGGAACATGGGGCGGGGAGTACAGTGAAAGGGTCAATGAGATGAGAACAGAAATAAAATATATTGACACACATGTATGAACATATAATGAAGCATATGTTGTATGTTTTTTTTTTTTTTTTTTTGGTTTTTACGAGACAGGGTTTCTCTGTATTGTTTTGGAGGCTATCGGTCCAGCCTGGCCTCGAACTCACAGAGATCCGCCTGCCTCTGCCTCCCGAGTGCTGGGATTAAAGGCGTGCGCCACCACCGCCCGGCGCATATGTTGTATGTTAATTTAAATTCGTAAGTTAAAAATCTATGTGAAACAGGTTACAAAGTGAAGTGAAACGAATATGGCAATCATTTAAGTTCATTTGTATTTATGTGTGGCATTTGTTAGTTAAATAATTTCCACTTTTTTTTCAGAGCTGTGGACTTCTAGGAAAGGAACCCTCTAGCAAATCTTTCCACCACTGATTTATAGTTCTAGCCCTGACATGAATCTGTATGTCACAGTTTCTTAGAAGAGCTTATCGTTGGGCAAAGCGGGATACTGAAATGAAATTATTTCGCTTTGGGCTTTTTGTTTGCATTGTCTCTGAGATGACTCTCACACAGACCAGGCTGACTGTAAACTTTCTGTGTTGCTGAAGCTGACCTTCAGTTCCTGATCTTTTTGCCTCCACCTCCTAAGCACTGAGATTACAGGCATGTGCCATCATGCCCGGCACATCTTCCTTTACTGCCCTGAACTGAATTCTAGCACACACTATGAGGTGGGATCACTGGTCTCTTTCCACATGGTTCATGAGCCATCCAAATACTGCAGACTCACTGTCTTTTCCTGACAGGAAATGAGAGTTTCACTGAACCCTGAAATCCCTTCTACAGATGGCCTGTTTTAGTCTCTTTGGGCCAATCTTTTCATTCTTACACGTTTAACTACTCTAACCTTATGTCTTTCACGACCAGCTACCATGACATTAGTTGTTTAAGTTGTTTTGTTCTTGGGCAGAGTTCTTGCCCAGAACACACAGAGCCCTGGCTTGGCCCCCAGTAGCTCCACTACTTTCTCACGATTCCCAAAAGAAGTTTGAGAACCAACACAGGGCAAGAGCAAAGCTGTGAACCTCTCTTCCCGCTGGTGCACGAGCATGGAAGAGCATGGTCTGAACACAGCAGACCCTAAGAGGCGCTCACGGGAGGGTCTTACATGAGTCTACAACAAAGCTGGACTTAAATATGGCGATGGAGGAAATTTTGAGCTCTTTAAAAAGTCATTCAAAAGGTGGAAGTATTTTTACAGTTAGAATCAATATTTTAGCAGTAATAAAAGTGATCACAAATGTCTGTGGTGGAATTGTAGCTACTCAAATCCACGGTGTGTGATGCTTGGAATCAGAACTATTGATACCAAGGAGGGGAAAGGGCAACATGGAGAATTGAGAGGCTGGGCTCATTTCATTTTTTCCCCAGCCTCTCCTGCCCAAGACACTAAAAATATTCTACACGGTGTCCAGCACAGAGGTCACATGTGCCTGTTTGGTATAAAAAATGTGGCAGGGGCAACCGGATGATGGAAATTTGAACTCATTCAATTTTAATTAGTTAAAATAAATCATTCACATGAGGCCAGTGGCTACTGAATTTCAGGGTAGACTGTCAGCCTTGGGTGAAAAATAAAAGATAAGGCGATGTCCTCAACACCCTCCCCATTCAGCTCTGTGTCACCCGCTTTCCTGCAAAGAAGGAAGAAGTATAGACCAGGGAACAGAGGATTACAGACACAGCCCTGAAAAGACCACCGCGGACGCACACAACAAATTCTCCAGAGACCACATGTCTGTCAAGAGCTGTGGTGCTGCAGAGCTATCCGAGAAGCCCAGGGAGGGCCCACCGTCTCCACAGCACAGAGAGTTCTGTGTGCAGAGCAGATGGGAGCAAGAAGGGAGGGTCTCAACCGAGTGGGCCACAAGCTAGAGGAACACATCAGAGGGGCAGTGTGGTGACATTTTTAGAAGGACACTTCAGAATGCAGCTAACCCAGTGAGTGGAGCACACTAGTGATTCTGCAGAAGAAAATGTCTGAGGTCACTTACTCAGCAGTCGGTACGTGATCAGTCTATGGCACATTAAAAACAGTAGGTTCAGCAATTTTAAAAAAATTAACTCTCTCCCTCTCTTGTTGTGAAAATTCTTTCCCCTATAGTTTTGGGGTACAGGCCTTAGGGTGTGGCCTGGGGTGCTACCTGAGAACTGAAAAGCTGGAAGAGAACATGCGCTCTCTCTCTCTCTTACTCTGGCTGATACTTGGCATGGTGGGAGCCCTGTGCAGTGAGGGACCAGCGGTGGCTTCAGCCTTTGAATCTGTGAGTTTGTCCTTTTCATTTCACCCTTAATAAATCGGTTTTTATACCTTTGTGAGTTATTGCATCACTCTCTCTCTCTCTCTTTTTTGAAAGTCTGACTATGCTGTCTAAGTTGGTTTTGAATTTCTGGGTTCAAATGATCACCCTTCTTCAGCCTCCCAAGCAGCTGGGGCCACAGGCACATGTGGCCACACCATGTGGACTGCGTTTTTGGTTTCTCTTTTTGCAGTTCTGGGGATTGACCTAGTGCTCCGTGAATACCAGGCAGGTACTCTGTCAGTGACCTTCACCCTAGCCCGAGCTACATACTCCAAATGAATGAACTGGTATGCTAATTACAAAGATTAATTTTTAAAAAGCTGAGGAAAATAATCTGGGCACGGTGATGCACACCTTTAATCCCAGCACTCGGGACTGTCAGGGGGATCTGTGTGTTTGAGGCCAGTTGTCTATAGAATGAGTTCTTATAGAATAAGTTCTTGCGCAGTCAGAGCTACACCATGATACCCTGGCCTCAAAATAAACAAAGAATAGAAAAACCTAACAATATCCTGAAACCGTGATGAGAAAGAAGGACACAAGTTGGGTGGTACACACCTAAATCCTAGCACACCTTAGGCAGGGGAGTTGTGAATTCAGATTAGCCTGGACTATGTAGCAAGAGCCTACTTAAAAAAAAAAAAAAAAGCCGGGCGTTGGTGGCGCACGCCTTTAATCCCAGCACTCGGGAGGCAGAGGCAGGCGGATCTCTGTGAGTTCGAGGCCAGCCTGGTCTACAGAGCGAGTTCCAGGACAGCCTCCAAAGCCATAGAGAAACCCTGTCTCGAAAAACCAAAAAACAAACAAAAAAAACAAAAAACAAAAACAAACAAACAAACAAAAAGAAGCCGGGTGTTGGTGGTGCACGCCTTTAATCCCAGCACTCGGGAGGCATAGGCAGGCAGATCTCTGTGAGTTCGAGGCCATCCTGGTCTACAAAGTGAGTTCCAGGAAAGCCTCCAAAACAATACAGAGAAACCCTGCCTCGAAAAACCAAAAAAAAAAAAAAAAAAAAAAAAAGAAGGAAAAGAAGAGGAAGGAGGAGGAGGAGGAGAGAGAAAAGGAAGAGGGCAGGGCTCATACGAATCCCTTAAACGATCAAAACTCCTTTCTTTCCTTGCTGAGGGTTTGAACCCATGACTCTCACACTATTTTAGTGATTTCGCTCAGCTACAGCCCAGCTCCAACACACTCAGAACTGATGAAACAGGCGGAGGATCAGCGAGACGGCAGGTATTTCAACAGTTAGCATTCTATACGGAACTGTTCTGAGGAGGGTTCCGGTGCACAGCGCACAGGGCTAGACTCACCCAGGGCTGAGACAGCAAGATGAACACATACCTCTTCCAGGCTGAGCTGCAGATACTCAAAGATCCTGTATGGATTTCTTCTGCACACCAGTCTCTTTCTTTGCAGCAACTACAAAGGAAGGAAGGACGAGAGCCAGTCACATGGGACACAGGTGAACGTCACCTGCCATGAAGACTGAATCCCCAAATGAACATTTTTTTTTTTTTGATAAACTCAATGCTGACATGCTGTTGAGTAAAATAACCTTTGTGGAAAAGACATTCTGATTTTTCTGCTGCTAACACTATCCCATGGACTTTGCCTGAATGATGTGATACTTCATTGTCAAACCAGTGTCCCCCACTCACAAGCTGTGTGCCTGTTCTTAGCTGTCAGAATCTTCATCCTCTTAGCTGAGATCAGGCAATTACACTGCCGTTCTTTTCCTAAACAGGACACAGAGTATTACTTGTTTTAACTTACTTTAACTTTTTTAAATTTGAATTTTAGTGGATTTAGTGAATTTTAGTGCAACTGGGACTGTGCTTCAGTAGTGGCCTCAGAAGCACCATACAGGACCAGTGGTGTCCACAGGCCTGCCTGGCGGCAAGTGAAGGGCATCTGGGTGGGCTGACATCTTCTGCAGGCCAGCAACAGGTGGATGTGGAGGAATGACTGACAGTCTTCCAATCTCCAGGGCATATGCCCCAAGAATCCTGGTGAATGCATATAACCATATAGCACTAAGCCCAGTGCTATAGTTTTCCTATCTACACCCAGCCACTGGAAAGTCTGCATTAGTGAGAGACTAACACACTGCAGTGACACAGCAAGACAAACAGCGATGTTCTGACTGGCTGACTGTAACTGAAGCCCAGATGGGGGAGCATGGTACTTTGTTCCACATACCTTCTCATCTGCGGCCTCGTCCTCCTCCTGGACATCACACAGCTCTTCCTCCACGAGTACATACTCGTGGGCAGCCCTTTTCTCACCTGCTGCCCGGCTGCTGTCTGCAGGCCAAAGGTCATCCTGGGCAATGAGGGCTTCATGGCTATGGCAGGGGACCTGGGACAGAACTGTGGTGTCTTCCATCACATGTCCATTAAGGCCAGACGGACTAGCCACCGTGAGTGTGGCTTGGCTAGGCCCTTCCTGCAGGCAGTCTGAGTGTGTGTTGAGACCCTGCAGGTCATCTGACTGTCCAGCAGCTCTAGTGGTCACAGAGAGTGCGTCCTTTCCCACTCTTCCTTCCAGGGAGGAGTTGGCCTCGGAGTTGGGCGGGTCACGCTGTGGGGTCTCTTCTTTCCCCTTTATGCCAGGGAGCTCAAGTGGCTCTGTGTAGTCTGTCAAGACCTTTTGTATAGTGCTCTCATCCTGGCCTTGTCTACGCATGAAATCCATGGCCCATTCCACTCGATGCCGATACCTGTCCACAGAAACACTGTCAATAACACACTCATCTTGACTCCAGGACAACAAAATGACCAAAAAAGTCTACACGATGGCCCACCAAGATGGCGAGTTTTCCTGAAGGGTGGATTACAGGCAGAGCTTGCCTCCTTCACATTCTCCTACATCTAACTGTCCAGCAACACCCATGTGTCACTGGTCCTTTGGTATCATTTGCTTACTTCGAAAAAAATTAACCCCCATTTAACAAAGTGTGAAAACTTATATAATTGAAAACCAAGAGACGCTGGTAAATAAGGCAGAGAAAATATCGACTTTTACTGGCATCCATTTTGTCTTTTTTTTAGGGGGGGGGGTTCCAGACAGCGTTTCTCTGTGTAGTTTTGGAGCTTATCCTGGCACTTGCTCTGTAGACCAGGCTGGCCTCCAATTCACAGAGATCCACCTGCGTCTGCCTACCAAGTGCTGGAATTAAAGGCGCTTGCCACCAACGCCTGGCTATTTTGTCTTATTTTTAATCTTGGTTATCACACAGTTGGTTACAGATACTCCTTTCATAAAATCCTTTGTTTAGTATTGGAAAGCGAATGTCAATCACTAATTTTCATAGTATCCATCCATGAACATCACTGGATATAAAAATAAATGGTTTGCCTAATACACAGTTCAAGGGAGGAAAGGGTTTATTTCACCTTAGAACTTACAGGCACCATGAGGGAACCCCGGGGCAGGAGCTCCAGGCAGGACCCGGAGGCAGGGATGGAAGCAAAGGTCTTGGAGGAACTTTGTTTACCAACTCATTCTCTAGCTCACGGTCAGTAGCTTTCTTATACAGCTGTAGTGATATATTATTTATGATTTATTAAGGCTTGACTAAGGATTCAGAAAAGCAAAGTCAGTCTCAAGCTATAGAAATTAGGCAGTGGTGATACACACATTTAATCCCAGCAACCAGAAGCTAGGAGGTGGTGGCACACACCTTTAATCCTAGGACTCCGGATTAAGAGATGGACTGATCTCTGTGAGTCCAAGGCCACCCAGATCAACACAAGATTGAATCAGTCTAAAAGAGAATTATGCTCACACCTTTAATCCCAGCACTAGAGGGGTATAAAAGACAGGGGCAAGGATTCAGTAGGAGGCATTCGTTCTCCAGCCACGCTGAGCAGAGGCAGCAGTTTGAGACTTGGCGAAGACTTCATGCATGGATCAGCCCTTTCAGCCTGAGCTAGAGGTGAGAGCTAGTGGCCGGCTGCTTTGCTTCTCTGATCTTCAGCTTGAACCCCAGTATCTGTCTCTGGTCTCTTATTTATTCGTGTCATATACAGCTCAGGCCCACATGCCTAGGGATGGTATCACTCACAGTGGTCTAGGCCCTCCTCCTTCAATTAGTTGAGAAACTGTCCTGTAGACTAATCTAATCTGACTGAAGCAATGAACCATGGTTTCTTCTTCTTCCCATGTGTGTCAAGCTGACATTTAAGATTAGCCGTCACCACACACACACACACACACACACACACACACACACACACACACACACACACACACTGAAGTAAATCCCCCTTTAGAATATAGTTAGCACAACTCAGAGCTGAGCACTTGCCAAGGTACAAAGACCATGAAGACAACAGGGCTGCATCAGGACATTGCTGGGATGTGTTCCTGTGACATCAGAACCTATTGTAAACAAAGGTCAGCAGCCAACGAGGCTCTGCCCACATCCAAGAAGATACATGTAATTTCATTCCTCACCTAAGTGCTTAGATGCCTGGACATATCAGGGTGCACAAACTGTCATGTCTCATACAATCCAGTAGGCAAACTGTCTTTTGCACCCAGAAAGACCAGTGTCTGCTTTGCCCTGGCTCATCAGAACCAAGAACCCAAGCTGTTCACATCAGTCTTCCTATACTATACACAGATGAGCATACATCCCTGTGCACTGGGACTGAATCTTTGACAATTCATTTACTGCTGTTCTGGGGACTGGACCTAGGACCACAAGCAAGGGCAAGTGCTCAAGTGCTCCACTGCTGGGCATTATCTCCCCCCTCCCCACCCTTTTTTTTTGAGAAAGGGTCTTTCTGAGTTGCCTAGGCTGGACTTGAACTTGCTAATTCTTCTGCCTCAGTTTCTTTCTTTTTTTGCCATTAAAAAAAAAAACTGAGCTATATTGGGGCTGGAGGGATGGCTCAGAGGTTAAGAGCACTGGCTGCTCCTCCAGAGGTCCCGAGTTCAGTTCCCAGAAACCACATGGTGGCACACAACCATCTGTAATGAGATCTGGTGCCCTCTTCTGGTGTACAAGCATACATGCAGGCAAAACACTGTATAGATAATAAATAAATAAATCTTAAAGAAATTGAGCTATACATTTCCCCCACCCCCTTGCACCTTCTCCCCCTGCCTCAGTTTCTTGAGTAGTTGGCAATACAGGCTTCTGCCACCAGGCCTGACTGAATCTTGGATTTAAAGAATGAAACATGGCAAGGCTGCTCTGAAACCTGTATTATAACAGTATAAAACGTGGAAAATCTATTACTGCATGTTTGGGGTTTAGTCTGGACTCCATATTTACTACTGTGTAGATTACTTAGCTACTGTTTCTATTTCCTCCCCTACAAAATTGGGGATACTAGTCCTACTGGCTCACAGAGATCTTGTTCTATATAACCTTTTAAAATTGGGGGACATGGTGTCCCGGTGACCAACACATGCAGTAGAAATGTTGGAAAGATCTAGAAAGAAGTTTTCTTGTGGTAGCAACTGCAGACTCCTTGACTTAAAAGCGTGCCCCAATCACAGTGGTGCAAGTATGTTATACCAGCAAACAGGAGGCTGAGGCAGGAGGACTGCATGCTTTAGACTAGCCTAGGCTACAAGGTACGACATCAGGCACAAAAAAAATCAAAAGCAAAAGCATAGGAAAAAAAAAGTAAAAACCTAAAACCAAAAACACATTGAAAGAGTCACGTGACTGAAGGTTCAGCCATCCCCCTTCCTTTGCACAGATCCAGAGTCAGCAAGCACACTGGGCTCCACTCCACCCTGTGCAGTGGCCTGGGCACAGTTTCATGCTTGCTGTGTGACCCTGCCTCCTCAGGCTCAGGGACACGCCTGCACACTCTGTGTGCCACCTCAGGGGGCTGTAGCAAGGATGAACTGAGAGGAGGCATGTGAAGGGTGCAACACACACGTGCCCAACAAGTTACCCATCTGCTTGCTCTCTTACTGTCAAGGCTTCAGGGATATGGTAAAACACAACTCACTCTGTCTCAGCACACAATTGCTAAAACCTACACATGGCCCAGGACCTGGTTCTTTGAGTCTGAGCTAACCCACTGGTACCACGCCTCTCCTCTCTTCTGTCACATGACACAGCCACTGCACTCCTGCCTCACTGCATTTCAGAAGACCTAATACTTCAACCAGAGTGGCCACAGGACTGTGCAGAAGAAATCCAAAGTAAGGCCAGCGATGAAAGAGCTAGGCAGCAATTAGCCTAGGTGTGCGGCATGAAGGTCCCAAAGTGGTGTCCTCCTGCTAGCTGCAAATTCCTTAAAAAGCCAAGTCCTCCAGGAGAGGTAAGAACAGAAAAGAGGCCCGGCAGTGGTGGAACACACCTTTAATCCCAGCACTAGGGAGGCAGAGACAAGCGGATCTCTGTGAGTTTGAGGCCAGCCTGGTCTACTGAGCTAGTTTCAAGACAGTCTCCAAAGCTACAAAGAAACCCTGTCTCGAAAAACCAAAACGAAAAAAGAACAGAGAAGAGTAGGTGCCAGGGAGCATAGGGGAGAGGGCAGAGCGAGGAGGCACAGCTAGGACTGGAAGCAAACTCACTCAAGGCTGCAAGAACCCCACACCGCTCAGGTTCCCAGGCTCTGAACATGCCTCTCCCACTGGCCGGACCACCTCTTCTACACGATGGACCATGTGCATCTATTATCTGGGCCAGTCCAGCTTTGGAAGGCCCAGTTCTGATCTCGGAGTAAGGAGCTTAACTTCCCACGGTTCAGTTCTTCCCCTGCAGAACACGGACCTCAAGAGGATCGAGGGGTCTTCATGGGCTGGGGTGAGGAGACGAGAGAAGCGGATGGTGAGCACAGCACCTCTCACACAACACACCCCAGCACCACTGCCATGTAACAGTTGCCTTATTGTTCTCATTGTCAACTCCTCTCACTCTGGGGCTGAGCCCATGAGTGTATTTTTCCAATTTAAGATGAGGTCATCCTGACTGGTGTGCTTAACAGAAAGGTGAAGCAGACAGACAAGGACACACACACACACACACACACACACACACACACACACACACACACACACACACACACACACACTCCTCTCCCTCTCCCTCTCCCTCTCTGGAGGTAGGGACTGGCCAAGAAGACCGAGGGCTGCAGGTACCACCAGAAGCTGATCCTGGTAGGAAAGGTCCTCCTGTGTCCTCCAGAGGGAGGTAGCCCTGTCAGAATCTGCATTTTGGTCTTTTGGCTTCCAGAACTGGGCTGCCAGCTGAAGGAAACATGTATGAGCTGAGGAAGCACTTCTGGGCCCTCATGCTGTAGACACTGCAGTGCTGCTGAGTGGCACCTTCAAAGAGGTAGGACTCCCTTCCTTGGACAGAATTGACCTCATGTCATCTACACAGCGAACCTGACTAGGAGGGGTCTTCAGCCTCTGTCTTGTTTCTGAATCCTAGCTTTGGGGACAGTGACCTGTGTACTGTGGCTTGGATGGGATGGGGGCTCTGCCAAGTTCTAAGTAAGTCCCACTCCAAGCCTAACCTGGGAACACTCCTCCCTGATACTCTGCTTGCCAGCAGGGCACAGAGCTGTGACATCTGCCACCACCAGTGAGAAGATGGGAACATCACTGTGGACTGAGAGTCACGAGGCTCTTCAGAGGGGCTGGGATCTGAACTAGAGCACAAACAAGGTTTGGGATGACTAGACTCCTACTTTGTTTTATGAGAAAGGGGTGTGCTGGCTAGTTTTATGTCAACCTGATGCAAAGAAAAGTCATCTTGGAAAGGACCTCAATTATGAAAATATTTCTAGCGAGGCGTGGGGGTGGGGTGGTGGTGGTGGCGCATGCCTTTAATCCCAGCATTCAGGAGGCAGAGGCAGGCTATTTCAAGGTTAGCCTGGTCTACAAATCCGAGTTCTAGGACAGCTAGGGCTGTTACACAGAGAAACCCTATCTAGGGTGGAAATGCCACCATAAGACTTGTTGTAGGCAAGTCTGTACGGCATTTTCTTAATTAGTGATTTATAGAGGAGGATCCAGACCATTGTGAGTGGTGCTATCCCTGGGCTGGTGGTCCTGGATTCCATAAGAAAGCAGGTTGAGCAAGCCATGAGGAACATGTCAGTAAGTAGCACCTCTGCCATGGCCTCTGCATCAGCTCCTGCCTCCAGGTTCCTGCCCTGTTTGAATCCTGTCTTGACGTCCTTCATAATGAACAGTGCTGTAAACTAAATAAACCCTTTCTTCCCCATGTTGCTTAGTTATGGTGTTTCATCATAGCAACAGCAACCCTGAAAAAGACTACCTTACCCTGTAGTCCAGGTGGAACTGGAATTCACTATGTGGACCAAGCTGGCCTTGTACTCAAAACGATCCTACTGTTTCAGTGCTGAGATTACAGACATGAGCCACCGCTTAGCTATCAAGGGACCAAGACCAGGCTACAGAGATACCGGGTCTGGTCCTGATATCCTGGAACTGACTCCAAACCCAAGCATGTGAGAGATGGCACAGAGAAAAGGGCAGTAAGCCCAATCGTTGGGGCAGTAGAGAGGACTGTCGCAGGGAGAAATTCTAGGAGCGGTGATACATGGGCAGGACCATGGATATACTGGGATTAGCTAGTGTCTGTGGAGTCAAGGGAAATACTTCCAGAATGTCTAAGAGGGGCTTCTGTGAAACCCTCTGGCTCTACAGTGTACAGCAGGCAAGAGGGCAGGATCATCTGCCCACATGGGCTGGGAGGCTGCTCAGAGCCTGAGTCCCAGTGTCTCAGGACTTTATAACACACTCTCAACATGACAGGAGTTGGTGTTTTGAGAGGCTGATCTGAACTAGCAACATGTTTCAGATGGGATTTGAGCCACATTAAGTTCAGATACAGTTTCCAAGTATTATCTACTATCAGGAGAAAACAAAGGTACAAGGTTGTGTCATCACAGTCTACTTAACACCAGACCCGAGAAGACACCACTGCATCAGAGCCAAGGTCACCCTCACTTACTTCTCTGAGGTGATTATAGGCATATCTGTCTGCATACCTGGAACAGAAAGACATTCGATTAGTTCCAGACAGACTTCCTTAGAAGGAACAAAACCCACCAAAGACATAATTTCAAGATCCAGTTACACAACTGGGCGACGACGTGTATCGGCCATAGCCAGCTTGTTCTGACCAACATCCTGCCCTGTGCCCACATTCTCCTGTTGGCTCAGATGGGCCCTCAGAACCTCTGCCCCAGCTCAAAAGCAGATATGAGACGGGACAGTTCATCTGTAGGAATGCTTGGGTCCTGTGTATGAGCTCAGCAGGGAGGGCTGGCCACCCTTGATGGCGGTGTGGTTTGGGATATGGGGCCAGGGGTTCCAGCTCTATTACTGGGTGCCAAGTAGGACAAGTCCTTTCTTCTAAAGTGTTTTCAGATCATTCAGTAGTCTAGCTTTTACTCCTAGTTCCGCCTCATTCTGCCTTTAGGAAAGTTGTCTCCTTTCTCAAATTCAGCACTGAGGTTTGAATGAGAATGGCCCCTGTAGTCTAATAGATTTGAATGCTTGGTCACCAGGAAGTGCACTACTTGAAAGGGTTAGCAAGTGTGGCAGATGAAAATGTGTACCGCCGCTGCCCAGCTTATGTGTTTCTTACATGGACACACTGGTGTTTGCAATCGACACCCTTCTCTTTCCACTGGGTTGTTTCTATTCTTCAAGTATTACAAATAGGACCTCAGAGAACAGCCTAGGCTGCTTTTCTTCCTATTAGTTCCTGTGCATTGTTAAGATGAATCTAGGCTTAAAGGGAAGATACAGATATAATTTTGCTAAACATGGTTAAATTCCTCTGTAAGGGCTGAGGTGTGTGTACACATACACCTACCCGTGGCGAAGTAATTCAGCATACTGTCAGGCTTTCGGGATTCTAGCCAGCTGCTGAACTATACCTCAGTGTGAGTAATTTCTATACTGTCTTACATGAGTCATTTCACAGCTCTACCCCCGCCCCTACCATCTCTTTCCTTTTTTCCCCATTGAGACAGGTCTCTAGTTGGTGATCCTCCTGTCTCAGCTTCCTACTTGCTGGGATTACAGGTCTGAGCCACTATACCAGTGGTTCTCAACTTGCGAGGCACAACGCCTGTGGGGGTCACATGTCAGATATCCTGCATATCAGATATTTCCATTGTGATTCATAACAGTAGTAAAATTATAGTTATGAAGTAGCAACAAAATAATTTTATGGTTGGAGGTCACCACAACATGAGGAACTGTATCAAAGGGTCACACACCAGGAAAGTTGAGAACCACTGCACTGTACTTAGCCTTAAAGAAATTTGTCTGTCTGTCTGTCTGTCTGTCTGTCTACCTACCTACCTACCTACCTACCTACCTACCTACCTACCTTTTCTTTTTCAAGACAGGGTCTCAATACGTAGTGCTGGCTGTCCTGAGACTCGATACGTAGACCAGGCTGGCATCGGACTCACAGAGATCCACCTGCCTTTGCTTCCCAAGTGATGGGATTAAAGGCGCACACCACTATGCCTGGTAATTCTTTTATGTTTTAATGTGCTGGTATTGCTTAATTACAAGGATGCCTTGAAAAATGTATTAGGAGAAAAGAATTGTAAATTAAGGAGCTATGCACATTAATAAACTCCATTTATTTGTGTGTGGGGGTATGTATGTGCCATAGCATGTGTGGAGGTCAAAGGCCAACTGGAAGTAATGATTCTTTCCACCATATGGGTCTGTGATGGCTATTTTTGGAATTAACTAAAATCTAAGTAGCTAGGCACACCTTGATTAGATCATTTGTAGTAGAAGCCCCACCATAAATCCGGGCTACATCTTCTGGTGGCAGCCCACATAAAATGACATGAAAAAGGGAAGCATTTGCTTTTTGCCTGCTTCATTCTCACTAGCAAGTTCATCTATCCTGCTGCTGAGGCATTCCCTCGTTTTAGTAGTTGCTCCCTAACATGGGGTCCGAGCGCTCTAACTCAGGTCATAAGGGCTGGTGGCAAGCATTTTCACCAACCAAGCTGTCTCACCACCAGCCCCACAGTATGTTTAACAATGCCATAGCTACTGTAAATTCTACCTCTGCAAATAAAACATTAAGCTCATTTTGACAGTAGCACAGGCAGGCAGAACTTCCTACACACAGCATCCTGCCAGGCAAGATGTAACAAGAGCCTGAATAGTACTTTCCCCTGTCTTCCGAGGTGCAATGGATTGAAATCAGAGCCCTGTGTACGTAAGACTTCTGACCACTCCAAGGAAGGGGAAACACATTTCCAAGAACCACAAGGATCTTTTTGCCTGGTCTTCCGGTTCATGGGAGATCCTGATTTCAAGGCTAGCCTGGGCTAAGTATTGAGACATTCTTAAGAGAATTAAAATTTAAAAAAGTCACACTAAAACAAAACAAAGAACTGTTTTGATGTATGTTTTTGTAGGCGCTCTTCCAGGCAGGAATGTTGTCAGTGTGCCTCTCTTCCAGAACTTACCACCTCACCAGGACATGTTAGTGCCAAATCAAAGCTGCACAGCTTACCTTTCCATTTGGCAGCCAGTTTAGAATCGGAGATTGTGAAGTTTGGACGGCTTCTGGAAAGAATGCCTTTTCCAAAGTAACCCTTCCAAAAAGAAAACACGGTTGATGCTCAGTTGTCAGGCTTGCAGCTGTGGCAGAATAAAACTACTTAACAGCCTCGTGTTTCCCCGATTCTCTAACGATCATATACACCCACCTCTTTGGTGTGCGGTGTATGCAGGTGTTCATGTGTATGTGAGCACATGTGGGAGTGCAGGCACATGTGCGCAGAGGGTGTGAGAGGAGGGGCGTGTGTGCGCACGTCTGGGTGCTATCAATGTTTAGTATTTCCCATGGACACTGGGGGTCTGAACTTAGCACATCATGCACGTGGGTCACCTCTGGGCCCCATGGCTTTCAGTACCAGCTCGCCTATCACATAAGGAATCACTTCAGCTTTCGTCTGGCATCCTGAAGGCACCAGAGCAGGCAGGGGAAGCTTCTTCTCACATGCGGCTCAGGAGTGCATTATGCCTGGGAGTGGCGCTATGCCCACTCCAGACAAAGGCCTCTTGGATTCCTTCCTGCTCTGCACTGGAAGTATCCCTGTCTTCCCTGCTTTTGACTATAAAAAAGCAGAAAAAAACCCAAATAATAATGTGACTAAAACGTACCCAGCGTATGAAAAGCCTCATCCCATCTTGCACACGGTGAACAAAGGCCTCAGCAGTGAGCTGTAGGCAAACAGGACCCAATGAGACCTAATGCGCCAGGGCCCCACTGACCTCACTGCACTCTCTAGAGAAGGTGGAAGACAGGCAGGATGCCCATCAGCTGCTCTGAGCTGGGAATGGGGGCAGGGTTTGGTGTCATAGGTATGAGTGACTTCAGTAGGGATAGCAGGTGCAGTTTAGAGGTGGAAGACAAGGACCTGGACCCAATCCCCAGCACCAAACCAAACACACAAATACTAAAACTGGACTGTGGTGCTAGGGAACCACTCTGTAGATTCATAATGTCACTGAATTAAAGGTATGCTTATGAGGGGTGAACTTCTTGGGTATAAGTTACATTTTATCCAGGCTGCTTAAAAAATTACTTTTGCTAGGCAGTGGTAGCATACACCTTTAATCCCAGCATTAGGGAGGCAGAGGCAGAGGCAGAGGCAGAGGCAGAGGCAGAGGCAGAGGCAGGCGATCTCTGAGTTTGGGGCTAGCCTGGTTTACAGATCAAGTTTCAGGGCAGCCAGGACTACACAGAAAAACCCTGTCTTGAAAAACAAAACTGAACAACAACAACAAAACCAAACCAAACCAAACAAAAAACCCAACTCAGCAAAAAAGGTTCATTTCTTTAAATCTCATGTGCATGGGTGTTTTGGGCAGATGTATGTCTATATACCACACGTGTGCTTGGTCCTGCAGAGGCCAGGAGAGGGCACTGGATCATCTGGAACTGGAATTACAGATGGCTGTGAGCTGCCATTCTGGTGCTGGGAATTGGATCCAGGGCATCTAGAAGAGGGGTCACTGCTCTTAACTGCCGTCTCTCCATCAGGCTGCCTTTCACAATTCCCCAGTAATAAAAATATATGGGGAGTGGAGCAGGAGAGATGGAGGAGGGGAAAGCAAGTCTTATTTGAAGCCCATAACTGCCATAACTAGGAGCTGTCCTCATTTAACAAGTCTCCAGACAGGAGAGAGCAGAGACCTTGGGGAACTTTCCACAGGACCTGGCTCTGCCCAGGAGCTGGGCCCCATGCCACTGGGAAGGGACAGAGGTCAGTGGGTGACCTTCAGTTTTCACCCATTACATTTCTGTAAATTACTTGTTTGTCTTTGATACACACTTCACCCTATGTGGTACTGGAAGCTGGGTTTGTGGCTGGGTATGCCTAGTTTTCAGCCTCACAGTCCAGGTTGGGAGGGCCTGCTCAAGATGTCACCAGAGTTGCCAGGCTTACCTTCCCATATAGCTGCTCCATGTCCTCTGTGCCCCTGACTACCACATTGTTGCTAATCATTTCAGCTCGGAATATTCGGAATTCCTTCCTGGGACCTTGGTCCTGACCAAAAGGGATGGGCAGTGGTGACTCGTAACTCTCATATACTCTTCTTTTCCTCTTCGGGGCACGGAAGACTGCCTCTGCCATTCTTCAAGGGTGACAGGCCTTTAGAGGACAGAGGAGGAGTCAGTAATCACAGACTGACACAGCCAGCACACACAGAACTGGGCTCATCTGGTCTCCGGAGAAAGGCAGAGTATCTATAAAACCACGAACTAGAAGATGCCATGGGACAAGGCCATGATCACACAGTTCAGTCACCAAGGGTGTCTCAAAGCTGAGACCTCCCAGAAGCCAGCGCCACAATCCTAACTGAAGCTGGTAGTACCAAGGCCTAGTCTCGTACTCTGAGAATTCTTGCCGGTAAGAACATGCTTTCCTTTCCTTGACCAAAAGACATTCAGAGCTGCCCAGGGACTGCTAAAACTCCAAGGTACTGACATGTACAGATAAAACCAAGCAAGAATATGTCCTCAGCAGAGTGAGTCTAGTGAGACCTCCATCTTCCAAAGATCGACCCTGAGATACATCATAAGCCCTGGGGCAGTCAGTTCTCAGGGTTTTCTGTTTGTTTGTTTGTTTATTTATTTGCTTGAGACAGGGTCTTGTGAGTGACAGTGCTGGATAACAGCAGGGTCGTGGAGTCCAGAGCCCAGGCCCTCTCTGTGTGTCCTGCTCAGGCACACTGCGGAACAGGTGTGAGCAAGATGCCACACAACTACCAACCATGTAAGGCATTACCCAGAAGGAGCCAAGGGAGCTGAAGTCAAGACCTCTTTATTCTGGGTCTCACCCTGACCCGAGGAGACAAAACAAGCGTGGAACACCCACGAAAGCCAGTTGATGTAACACAGGGCTGCTGCCAGGTAACAGCTCACAATAGGAAGCAATGCTGAGTCGCAGTCCATGCAAATGTATACACTGCAATTGACAGACAGACGCTGTCACCAGGTGGGCGGGTGGGGGATTCAAACCTGTCTAGGGTCAGGTCTGCATATGGGTTAACCTGAGAAGTTACATGAAACTTAAAGGTCATGTACACAAAGGACAAAATACAATGATCTGGGTGTCCTTACGCTCAAACCAGCATCCATTAGACAATGGAGAGTTGTGCCTGAGGAGGTGGGTGGCTGTAACATTTCATGACCATTAGAAAGAAACGATGTGGCAGAAGTACCCACATGACAGCTCCCATCCATCTGAAGGACCTAATGCCCTCCTCTGGCCTCTGTGTGCACTGCATGCATGTGGTGCACAGACAAGACACACAGGTCAAACACTTAGTGTTGCATGTTGTAGTGTAAGCATGTATATGTGTGCAGGTATGTATATGAAAGCAATCATTACAATGTCCTGTCTTAGAACTGTCAGTGTTCCAGATAGAAACACATCAAAATAAGTTCTTAGACTTCAAGGAAACATACCTGAGCATTACTGTACGTGCCATGTATAATGCTGAACAGCATTTATGACCATGGCTACTGCATGGAAAGGGAGCTGAAGGGCTGTTCTCCCAAGAGCACCGTAACTAGATATGAAGACTGTCAGCCCGATAGACTACTGCAGAGACAAGCCTCTGGGCATGTCTAGGTTAGACTGGCTGAGTCGGGAAGCCGAACCCTGAACGTGGACAACACTATCCCATGGGCTGCAGCCTCAAGAGCACAGAGGGTGAAAGCAAGTCCAGGAACCACACTCTACTTCCCGACTGTGGTTACTATGTGAGTAGCTTGTCTGCTCTTGCACAGAACATACATGCAGGCAAAGTACATGAATAAACCTAACTTTAAAAGAGAATTGCTTCTTGTTGCCGTGTCAGCAGAACACCATGATGTAAGAGGGCAACAGAAATAAACCTGGAACCATTGTAAGTGAAGAGGCCTCACTGGATATCAGTGCAGCCATGACAGGCTGCAGACTAACAATACTGGGACTAGGCCTCACCCTTACCCTGCGGGGGACTAATCAGAGTTGAGACAAACAAGAACTAGATGCTCCAGAACATTAAGACTAGCTTACCCAACTTGCATATTGGTTGCCAATTGCCTTGCAGCAATGCCAGTCACTGTTTGACCAGTCAAGAGTTCAACCCCCATCTGAGTCTGGAATTCCTCTACCCGCCATTCTTTACTCCTTAAAAACCCTGCCTCAGCGGGGCGGTGGTAGCACATGCTTTTAGGTCCAGCACTCGGGAGGCAGAGGCAGGTGGATCTCTGTGAGTTCGAGACCAGCCTGGTCTACAAGAGCTAGGTACAGGACAGCCTCCAAAGTCACAGAGAAACAACAACAAAAAAACCCTGCCTCAACTAACCTCAGGGCTCCCTGATCCAACTTCTGTGTTGGAACAGATGGAGAATTCAATCAGGAGCTTGCAATAAAGGTTGTTTTTTCATATGAACTCAGACTCCTGGTGGTGTCTGGGGGCTCATAACTCTGACATAACACTAAGCAGGTTCAGGGTTTCAGATACTAACTGGGCCAGGGACACACAAACACACATGGGCCTGGAGAACTGTCCTTATTTTATAAAGAAGCAGAGGTCGGCCATTTGCTCAAAGCTTAGGGAACTAAGAGGTGAGACCTGATGTGGTGGCACTTCCCAGCCCTCAGACTAAGACAGGAGGATTGCTCTGAGTTCCAGGCCAGCCTGGGCTACCGAGTGACACCTCAAAAACAAAACAAAACATGCAACCAATAAACAGGTACATAAACAAAAAGAGAAGGCCATCTTTCACATGTCGGAGGCACATTTAATGTATAGGGCAGACCAGGTCAGTAATGTGGAGGACTGAACGTAAAGGCTGCAACTTGCTTTCTCCTAGTGTTAGGGCGTGAACCCAGGGCCTGGCTCGCTCAAAGAAGACGCTCTACGGGAGGAGCCACATCCCGGCCCTGGCATTACTCTCGCACAGATGAGGAAAGTGGCTGGGGACCAAATGTACCTGCAAAGATCGCTACGCTTCATTCAGTTCCCAAGCCTGGCATGCCTGACGCCAAAGCACCACACTCGTATTTCTGTCTTCCAAAAGCAAGGCCTGTCCTTTATTCTTTCCCTGATCTGCTGGCCTAACTTTCATTTAAAATTTTGGGTGTTACTATGTAGCTTTGGCTAGTTTAAATCTCATCATGAGCTCTCAATCTCCCAAGTACCGGGGCTAAAGGCGCGAACCATCATACCCAATGGTCAGCATAACTAACCCCTGTTCCAAAATGTCAACTCAAGAACAAATAACAAAGGAAGGGGTAGATGCATTTAATTTCCCAACACTCTTGGATCAGGTGTCAAACAAGTCTCCCTTGGCAAAACTCACCCGTGGTCTCTTATCATTTTTTATTTTTTGAGCCGGAGCCACACGTAGCCCAGGCAGGCTTCAAACCTCATACGTGGCTGAGGATGGCCTTAAAAACATCTGATCCTAGGCGGCGGCGGCGGGGGTGGGTGGGAGTGGGGGGGCGTACTCCGAGGCAGAAGCAGGCGGATCTCTGTGAGTTCAAGAACAGCCTGGGGCCGGGCGGTGGTGGCGCATGCCTTTAATCCCAGCACTCGGGAGGCAGAGGCAGGCGGATCTCTGTGAGTTCGAGGCTAGCCCGGTGTACAGAGCAAGTTCCAGGACAGCCTCCAAAACAATACAGAGAAACCCTGTCTCGAAAAAACAAAAACAAACAAAAAAGACCAGCCTGGTTTACAGCGAGTTCCAGGACAGGTTACAAACTACAAAGCTAGAGCCAAAAACTGTCTCGAAAAACCAAAAACCAAAACCAACCGAACAAAAACCCCGCGGATCCTCTAGCCTCCACCTCTCAAACGTGGGGATTACAGGCGGGCACTGAGAGGCGCTGCCAGCTGAGCTCCATCCTCAGCCCTCGTGGGCTCATCATTTGAAAACACGTTTGCGCCTGTGCTCCTGACGGCACTGCAGAGGTGCAGAGCTGAGGGCCAAGGAAGACCAGCTTGGGTCTGGGGCAGCCGGCTCCTTGTCAGTCCGAGCAGAGTGCTCAGCGGCCCGCACGACGCTGTGCCCACGGGCGCTGAGAGACAGACAGCCCCCACCCCACTCGCGCCGGAAGCCGCTTACACGCTGGGCACAGCGACACACCCACACCGAACCGCCAGGCCTCTGGCCCCCAGTCAGCCTTACCTTTCCCGACCACGCGCGCCCACCGTAACCCGGGCAACCTGAGGGCGGTGCTACAGCCGTCAAGCAGCAAAGTCGCAAAACCAGAGGCTGGCGCAGCCGCAGAATCGACCCACCGCGTCCTAGCGCAGAGCGCCTGCGCACAGTATCGCCGATCGCTCGTTCCGCCCCCCCCAGTTGACTCTAATAAGGAGGGCTACTGGATCATATATCCCTCACAGCAATCCCACAAAATCCATTTTTACCCTCTTGAGGTTACATAAGTCTCACGGCTTGGCTTTGGTTCGCTTGGAACTCACTGTGTAGCCCAAGCTGACCTAGAACTCACAGAGATGCACCTACCTCTGTTTCTCCAATGCTGGGATAAAGATGCTCACCTCTTCACGGGTACAACACAAGATCCATTTTTACAGATGAGATGTGAAGTGGCCTGCCCCAAAAGATGCCCTTGACCTCCTCAATATGACATGAGATTTTATTCAGTAATGAACCCTGCTTGCTACAATAATGACCTACCAGGGAATATGTACCCGCTGGTGCAATAACAGCGCGAAGGGTATGGAGGCAACCAACAGCAAGAATTCATGCCTGGTACTGTAAACCTGATCAAAAGCCCGTGTCTCGGGAGGTCATAGGGCCTAAGGGAAACCTACTTACGCTGCCTTTTTAAATGGACACGCCAAACTACTTGTAAATATTTGGTTATATCCACAGTGCTGCCCTCACCCACAGCCAGAGAAGCACCTCTCTCTGGGTAGTGGTGAATGGTCAAAATGCTGAGAACAAGTGCTCGGTCTTAAATGGGATGTGTATACTAACTCCTGCCTGACTAAGGTTGAAGAAACATTGAAAAACCCAACCAACCAACCAAAAACAAACAAACAAAACCGGGCAGAAAGAAGGCGAGAGCCAGAGAATGGGGAAGAGTGCTGTGAAATGCTGTGTTCTGGACATGACAGAGCCCATGGCATTCATGGGCTCCGAGCAGCAGTGATCACACACACACACACACACACACACACACACACACACACACACACACGCACACACGCACAAACGCACACACGCACACACGCACACTCGCACACACGCACACACACACCCCTTAGACATGGTCAACCCTGCTAGATCAGTTAACATTCCAGCATGCAGTACTAATTGGATCAGGTGGATTACCAAAAAGTTAAAGAACAGGGGGTATGAAGGGATGTATGGGAGAGTAGGGAATGGGAGAGGAGATCTGGGGGTGGCTATAATCAAGGTACACTGTACACAGGTATGAAACTGTCAGACTACACTAAAGATAACAAAGAATATGGACAGGCAGTAAGAAGATAATCTCTGCAGGTTTGGTGGTGCATGCCTTTAATCCTAGCACTCGGTAAGGAGAAGCCGCTAGAGCTCTATGAATCCAAGGCCAGCCTGGTCTATTTAGCAAGTCCCAGGTCAGCCAAAACTATATATTGAGACCCTGTCTTTTTTTCTCCTTAGGCTAGGGTGTGGCTCAGTGATAGAGCACTTGCCTAGCATTCAGAGGCCTTGAGGTCTGTTAAAACAAAACAAACAAAAACAACTTATTTCTCAAATTTTTAGCCTTTTGTATCTTGTTTCTTTCATACTCTTTACATCCCAACTTTTTTTTTTTTGGTTTTTCGAGACAGGGTTTCTCTGTGGCTTTGGAGGCTGTCCTGGAACTCACTTTGTAGACCAGGCTGGCCTCGAACTCACAGAGATCCGCCTGCCTCTGCCTCCCGAGTGCTGGGATTAAAGGCGTGCGCCACCAACGCCCGGCTTTACATCCCAACTTTGATTTCATTGAAGTATTTGAAAATAATCCCTACCCAGGCGTGGTGGTGTATATTCATAGTCATAGTTACTAGGGAAGCTGAGGGGCTACCATCCCTTGAGGCTGGGAGTTCAAGGCCAGACAATATACTGAGACCTAATATGAAACAGGCAGCATTCCTCAGGGAGGCAGAGGCAGACAGATCAGAGGCTGCCTGGTCTACAGAGTGAGTTCCAGTACAGCCAGGAACTTACTCTCTAGATTGGGAAACCCTGTCTCAAAAAACCAAACCAAACCAACCAACTAAACAAACAAACAAACAAACAAAAACCCAACAACAAGAGGGGCTGGAGAGGTGCCCCGGGTTAAGAGTGCTGGCTGCTCTTTCAGACAACGTGGGTTCAATTTTCAGAACCTCCATGGCAGCTCACAGGGCAGCTCACAGCCATCTGTAACCAGTGCCAGGGGACTCGATGCCCTTTTCTGGCCCCAGTCACACACATGATACACAGACATACATGTAGGCCAAACAATCATATGCATAAAATAAGTAAGCCTAAAAATAAAAAATAAAACAAGAACCTCAAACATCATGTAAAACCTCACCCATGATATTTCAGTGTGTATCATCTTTTTTTTTTTTTTTGGTATTTACGAGACAGGGTTTCTCTGTATTGTTTTGGAGGCTGTCGGTCCAGCCTGGCCTCGAACTCACAGAGATCCGCCTGCCTCTGCCTCCCGAGTGCTGTATTTTATCTTAATGTATCATATACCTGTAACCCAGACACACATACTCGACCATGTAGTTGATTCTATTTCTGATAGTCATGTGTATTCTATAAAGTTAGCAAATATACATATAACACAGACACATATACTGGACCATGTAGTTGATTCTATTTCTGATAGTCATGTGTATTCTATGAAGTTAGCAAATATTGGCCTGTTCTTCCCAGGAGAACGCAGGACTAGCTTCTGGCAGCCTGTAATCACAGCTTTTTCATCCAGCGGTCAGTATATCCCCGTTTCGTACTGGTGGTTCTATTTAAAGCCACCCTTTGTATTATCTGCTGTTGATTCATTAACACTGAACTGGAAGCCAGCAGTGAAATAACTGATGCATGCCAGGGGCTTATCTAAGCCTATTTCCTTCAATAAATCGCATTTCCTGGCTGAGCAACACTGTAGTGCTTCAGCACTCCCCTGGAGGCATTTGAAACACTCCCATCCCAAGAGTGTGGAAATCTTGTGCACATGGCTGGTGCTGGGTGTGTTTAGTGAGACCTTCATTTTGAAGACACACACACACACACACACACACACACACACTCACACTCACACACTCCATTTCAAAATTCCAGAGCAGTGTTAGAAACAAACAGAAAACAATCTAGGTGGCTCACAAGGGGACACACAGAGTGAAAGTAGCTTGGCAATGCAATTCTTTTTGCAAAAAGGGTGTGCCAAGACCCACAGCAGGCTTGCATGCGTGTGGGGGTAGGAGCTTTACAGCAGGTGATGCCTGTGTCTCTTCCCCATTGGCTGGAGTCTGAGCTCACAGACTTTTACTATTGGTTAGTTTTGAAAGCCTCCACGGCAAAGACGATGAAGGAAAGGATTGGCGCTGCAGGTACCAAGTGGCCTGCTTTGCATGAACAAAAGTTTTACCAGGTAGGGGAGATCTGTGGAATCATAGTCCTTGGTAGGCAAAGAATTTTTGATAGACTAAAACAAACACTTCTAACAGTATGAAGGCCATCTGTCTAGTACATCATAAACACAGCAGGAAATAGACACCAAGTCTTTTTTTTTTTTCAAGTTTGATTTTTCTAGACAAGGTTTCTCTGTGTAGTCTTTGGTGTCCTGGAGTTTGAGCTTTAGACCAGACTGACCTTGAACTCTGAGGTCTACCTGCTTCTGCCTCCTGATTGCTGGGATTAAAGGCGTGTTCCACCACTGCCCAGCGACACCAAGTCTTAATGTGAACCATGAATGCAATCACTTTGTAATTTTTGGAATATACTAAAACAAAATACAAAAAACAAACCAAAAACCCGAATTTGTTCCCCCTCCTTTTCTTAGGGGAAGGGGCTTGAAACAGTCTGATGTTGCTGGCTTCAAACTGCATGTAGCAGAGGATAACCTTGAACTCTTGGTCTTCCTGCCTCCACCTCCGAAATGCTGGGATTGCAGGCATGCATCGCGGTGTTTAGATTCAACATTTTTCTAATCTGAAGTTCCAGATCGCCTGGGTGTCCTGTGTTTTATCTAGCCATCCTGGTCACTTCTACCGTGGCCATTATGTGGTTGTCATAGCAGGCCTGCGAATTGGATGCCACCACCTCTGTCTTCTTTGCCGGTGACTGGGAGCAGAGCAGGCTAGATCAGCTCCCAGCCTCAATCACCCCATGGGATGCCAGGGTTTGGCTCCAGCATCCAACACACAGCATTCAGTGTTGAAGCCGACTCTGCTAAGAGTTTGTGGGAAGGAAGGAGGGAACCTTGATGCAGTGATGGACCAGGCAGGCTTCCTGGAAGAGCTGACCTAGAAGCTGGGCTGATGACAGTCTGGGGCACCAGGCTGGCCCCAGTGAGAGGCTGGACCCAGCTTGGAGGTTCAGGGAGGAGCTGGGCCTGGTCAGGGCAGGAGGTCGGAGCCGAGATAAGGCTGGGTAGTTGAGGCGGGGCCGATTGTGGAGGCGCTTGAATTCCAGGCTTGGCTTTCGGACTTTACCCCGCAGACAATGGGGAGCCGGTCGCATTTCTGAGCAGGGCTGGGCACCCCTTGTCGCCCCATTGTTTTCCTGAGAGTCCGGGACCCGCAGTGTTGCTTCTCGACCACCAGATGGCGATATTTCAGCAAATTTCAACCACTCCAAGGAGGCACGCACTCGGGAACCCTCTCTAGTTGCTAATGAGTATCGTCCATCCATAACCCAACTAGCCAGAGCTGGGAAACACACACCAAATCCACCCAATCCGGGACTTGGTCCAGCCTCACTCCGCCGGCGAGTCCGCGCACCTTCACAGCTTTGAGGGAGAATCTGTTGAGCCGTAGAAAAGGAGAGACCGGTGTTGGCCTGTGCAGCTGGAAGCGCTTTCAGTGGCCCACACACCCAATTCACGAGCTGGGAAGCAGAGGTTCGCCTTAACTTGCCTGTTAGGATGTGGAGCCACGTAGCAAGGGGGTGAGCCTGGAGCCCTCAAGGTTCTGGTTTGCTGGTCAAGGTTCCTTGCATAGTATCCAGCCTTCAGTCTATCGTGGTTGCCAGAAAAACAAAAACCAAACCAAAATAATCCT